TTTTTGAGACAGAGTTTCGCTCTGTCCCCCAGGTTGGAGTGCAGTGGTACTGTCTTGGTTCACTGCAACCTCCACCTCCTGAGTTCAAGCGATTCTTGTGCCTCAGCCTCTCCAGTAGCTGGGATTACAGGGGCACCCACCACTACCCCCAGGCTCTTTTCTTTTTCTTTTTTTTTTTAGTACTGATGGAGGTTTCACGATGTTGGCCAAGCTGGTCTCAAACTCCTGGCCTCAAGTGATCCTCCTACCTTGGCCTCCCAAAGTGCTGGGATTACAGGCATGAGCCACTGTGCCCGGCAAAATATTTTCAATGGTCCTTGATTTCCTGTATATTTAGTGGTTATTTAATTAGATTTTGCTGTGTGTGTGTGTGTGTGTAAGGGTGGTTTTGGTTTGCAAATAACAGACAATCTAGTGTCATCAACCATGTATAATACAGAATAATGTAGGCTTCAGGGTTGGTTTGATTCAGCAACTCAGTGCTGTCAGGATTTCTCTTCCATCTATCTATATCTCCCACTATGTCACTTTCACCCTTGCGGTTTTCCTCCCTCATGACTGCAGGGTGGTTCCAGCCTTCACATCCACGTACCATACTACCTAGAAGAAAAGGAGGAACTTTTTTTTTTTTTTCTTGAGACAGAGTCTTGGTCTGTTGCCCAGGCTGTAGTGCAGTGGTGCAGTCTCAGCTTACTGCAACCTCTGCCTCTGAGTTCAAGCTGTTCTCCTGCGTGTGGACTACAGGTGTGTGCCACCATGCCCGGCTGATTTTTGTACTTTTAGTAGACATGTGGTTTCACCATGTTAGCCAGGATGGTCTCGATCTCTTGACCTTGTGATAACGCCCACCTTGGCCTTCCAAGTGCTGAGATTACAGGCGTGAGCTACTGTGCCTGGCCTGAAAAGGAGGAACCTTTTACAAAAGCTCTTTACAAATGTCTTTGATTTTACAGAGCCAAATTGGGTCATTTGCCCATTTTGAGTCAGTAACTGTCTACTGACCTGGGTTTGACAAATCTCCAGGAGTCTTGGCCGGGCGTGGTGGCTCATGCCTGTAATCTCAGCACTTTGAGAGGCTGAGGCAGACGGATCACTTCAGGTCAGGAGTTTGAGACCAGCCTGGGCAACATGGTGAAAACCCCGTCTCTACTAAAAATACAAAAATTAGCCAGGCATGGAGGTGGGCACCTGTAATCCCAGCTACTCAGGAGGCTGAGGAGGGAGAATCGCTTGAACCCAGGAGGCGAAGGTTGCAGTGAGCTGAGATCATGTCACTGCACTCCAGCCTGGAGGACAGAGCAAGACTCTGTCTTAAAAAAAAAAAATCAAGGAGTCTCTATTGTGTGATGGGCATTCTGCTGGTCAGTAGTCTAGTTTAATAAGACACATTCTATGGCCTAGAGGTGCTTAAAATTGCAGAAAGGTTGTGGGGCAGCTACAGAGAGAGAGAGAGGAGGAGCCATAGGAAGGGGAGGGAGAGAGGGAGGACTTACACAGGTGTGAGACCCCAGGAGCCTGATGATATGTGGAGTAAGTACATATATTCAAACAAAAAGCTCCAAACTCTTGAAAAAGCTATTGATGTACATTTATCAGTGTTTTTCTAAGAAAACTTTTTCTTTCTTTCTTTTTTTTTTTTTTTTTTTTTTTTTTTTTTTTTTTTTTTTTTTTT